ATCATTCAAAAGTACTGCTTATTTAGAATTTTAGTAAGTTTAGAGCTGAAGATTGTCTCCAATAGTGCACATAAATTGAATATTTTACAAAAACCCATGATAAATCTTTCGATTTTTTTCATTTAAATTAATGGGATTTCCCCGCAATTTGGCCCAAAAGAACTAAAAAACAAACTTTTGAATTATATTACGTTGAAAAAGAAAAGGACTATTGAGGAAAAGGTTGTGCTAAGGGTAAAGGAAACTACTATACCAATATTGTTCTAATTATTGACTTCTTATGGTGAGTGAATTATGAATACCAACGAAATATCTTGTTAATTTAATAGCTTAGCTTACCTTTCAGTACTATTCTAATTTCTAAGCCTTAAGGACAAGTCACATCACATTGGATAAACGATGATAAAGCTTTCTTTACTTCTCTCCTGGATCGAAACTCTGGGCTCGGTTTCTTTCATTGGTGTATATATATATATATATATATATTTGATAGGTATTTTGAAGGTATATTATACTATTTATTTATTGGCTTTCTGAATATCGTAATTAATATGACGACATTTGATAAAAAAAATTAATGTTGAGAATTATACAATATCCCGTTTGTTGTATATAGCACCATAAATTATAAAGTACTCCTCTATTATGGTTAAATAAAATTGAGAAAACTTTTGATGACAGATGGAGTTACTTACTAGTAATACACATATCATTAGAATCATATAATGGACAAACATTACAAACTCAATCACAAATTTCTTACAATTTAAAAATATGTAGTATCAAAAGCTTAAAATGTTTTGATTCCTATCATACTTGTATTTTTATTTTAATATGATTATTATACTCATATTTTTTTTATTTTAATATGATTTTAATGTGATTCAACACTAAAAAAAATGTACAATGCTCAAATCTTTTACGATTCAAGTTTCCTAACTCAGAATTCTCAAATTTATTTGAGAATTTTTTAAGGTACCATATTAGTATTTTAGTATTGCCTATCTCCAAAATGTCCAATTTTTAAGTTGAATGCATCAAACGTGGATCCACTTTCTACTCAATAATCCCTACCAAAAATCTATTTATTTATTTACCATTTAATAATTAAAAAAGAAAAGTCAAACCTAAAGGGGCTTAAGTAATTTAACTTAGAGTGGTTGTATTGGCATACTTTTTTTTACTCTCTACATCCTTCTCAAATTAAAATTTTCTTATTACAAAAAGACCTTTAAATAAAATATTAAAAAGAACAATAGACTTAATTATATAATTAAATTTTATTATAAAATAAAAAGTAATAGAGAGTTTTTTTTTTCTCTCCACACACCGCCAATATCATATTATCAAATTATAAACTATTTCTATTTCAAAAACTCATAACAAAACATTTGGTGCGTTTAAAATTCGTTTTAAAATGATTTTATTTTTTGTATGAAAATAAAAACGAAAACGTTTTCATTTTGGAATCATTTCTGAAAATGCATTTGGTAGTTTTATTCCGAAATTGTTTTCAGTTTAAAAAAATGGGCTCGGTTTCTTTCATTGGTGTATATATATATATATATATATATATTTGATAGGTATTTTGAAGGTATATTATACTATTTATTTATATGGTAATTAATATGACGACATTTGTTAAACGTGAAAACGATGCTTAATCGTTTTTCAATTTTTATTTTTTAGAAAATGTGGTGCCAAACACATTTGTGAGAGCATTTTCATTTTTTTGTTTTTGACAAATGTGAAAAACATTTTTGAAAATGATTCCAAACATGCACATTAATTTTCACCTTTAATGACTATTACAAAAAATTAGATGGAGGTATGTTCAATTTTCTTTATTATGTGTAAAGATTTTCTTTTTTAATTTTTGTTTTTCATCTTGTGTTCATATTTGTTTGGATTTAGAATTACTTGGATGGATGAGGATGGTTGCAAACAAGTCCGCAAGGTTTGTTTGACAAACACAGTACCTCTACACAAGATTTGATATTACACCACTTATCAATCCAACAATGCCCAACTATTTTGCCATTAAATTAAAGTCAGTACCTTAGTATCACTTCTAAAATGACTAATGAGTAAATGTGATATTCTTTGGAAGAGAAGATTTATTTGTTCCAAGACAATTCAAAGTGTTTTTGTCCGAATGTGTTTAGTTTTAGCATATGTAAAATGGTTTCGATTTGTCAAATTATTTATGTCTTTTATTTTTCTAAAACTAAGTAATAGTAAACTTTTCGAAATTAGATTCACAGATAATGAAATTTCTTATTGAACTAAAAGAAAAAAATCGCTCCGTGCCTAAAGTTTCAACAAAAAATAAATAAAATAAATAATATTAAAATAATCATTTAATTTATGTGGTGTGTAGATGGAAAGGAGTGTGGAAAGTAAAAAAATGGGTGTGGAGAGATAGAAAAAAGATAAATAAAATCATCTTTAATGATTTTATTATAATAATTAAGGTTAATTTTAAAATAACAGATGTATAAAAAGAAAATTTACTCAATTAAAACTTACATGAATTGTGTAATTAGAAAATAAATGAACTATAAATAATAATAAAAAATGCGAATATAATTACCTTTTAACTTATTATATAAAAAAGTAAAGACTTTTTTTCGCCTCACATTATATATATATTAAAGGAAAGGACGGATTTACTGTTCACGTTACAGTGTAATGAACAGTGTCTTTTTTTTTATCCCTGCATATTTCTTCAGATGAATTTTTTATTTTCGTTATGTCCTTTTGAGTGTACTTACTATATTGCCCTCAACTTATTACTCTTTTATTTGATCTTTGTTGGGGCGTTTTGGTCATTTTCCGTATGCTTGCTTTTCTCTTATACATGGTTTCCTATCTTTCTTACACATGAGCTGTAGTGAGTGAATTCCACCCATTTGGATTTTGGCCACGTGTTATTCTTTGATGGGCTGAGACTAAAGTCTCATTCACTTCGAGTTGAGATGTGACATTTTTTGAGAGCTTTTCACTGTAGCAAAAAAAAATTAATGTGACATTTTCTGAGAGCTTTTTACTATAGAAACCTAAAACTGAAAACTGGAATCGGTGAAATAAACGAGGCCTAAGAATTTGGTCCAAGTGAGCAACAAACATTGTAATTTTTTTTTTTTTTTGGATAGAATAAACGGTCCAATTCACATGAAGATGTGCATATACCTCACACCAATTATACCGAGTATATTCATGCTTTGTACATGTAAATCGTTCCCCATTATTCTCCCAATCTTTTTTTAAATTTTATTTTTTTTCTTCCCTTTCCTTTTGTGTTCGAACAAATTCTTTTATTTTTTGTCGTTTATTCATGTAAGCATGTAAATTACAAAATTATATATGAATTTTATTTGTCTTACGTTTTTTATTTATGTTTTTTCTTCATTATGTAACTTCTTTTCTCCATATTTATTTATTTATTTTTATATGTTTTTTTTAAATAAATTTATATAATCCGTTCATTTAATAGACAGTAAAAGAAAAATAGAAAAACATTTTTCTAAGGAAAATAGAAAATTATTTTTAATTACCATATAACTTTATTATTTAAAAAAATATATTTCTAACATTTAAAAATTATTTATATGTATTTTACAGGTATAGATTAATGATCCAAATTGAAGATTACACTGGAGACATGGAGGTTATTGTTTTTGGCAGAACCGCTCAGGCACTAATAAAAAAAACATGTTTTGCATTAACAATTAACGAAGGCTTTACCGATCCATTTATAATACCACCAACTATTGATCAGATTCGAGGACAATCAAAAATCTTCAAAATCTTCTTTCAACAACGAGACACCTAAATGAGCACAATAATTTCCAAAATATTTGAAGACATCCATGTTCCATCATCGCCACCAAAACAATTAACTACAAAAACAGAAGATCTAGAAAGGTAAATAATATCTTTTATCTTTTATCAACTATACATAAAAAAACTTTATATTATTTTGATTAAAATTTTAAAAATCTATTTTTTTCAGCCCACAACTAATAGCAACAGCGTAGCTATCAATACCAGTCACATTTGATCCACGCACTCCGACATGTAAAAAACCTGGTACAAGGTAAGACACGTTCAACACAACAAATATTATCAACTTATTTAAATATATATCTAAAAATTATTTCATTTTTATAGCCCTAAATCAAGAACAACAAGACAATCTGGAAAACATCCAAAAACAAGGTAATATAAATATTTTTAAAATATTTATTTCATATTAAATAATTTAAACATATTTAATTTTGTTAACAATTACATTTACAAACATTTTTCTCATTTTTATATTTGCAGCTGAAAAAAAAATGCTAAAGAAACACAAAAACGTTGTATTTTATTTTGTACAATCTGTATATATATTAAATAATTATACTATTTATATCTGTGTAAATATATTTGTACGAATTTTATATCCATCATATAATGTAACAATGTATAATATATGTGTATATATAAACATTTTAAACACAATTATCATATAATATAATACTATATTCCGCAACAACGTGCGGAATACAGGCTCGTAAAATCTAATTAAATCCATATCAATTTAAAAAAATTATAAAGAATTGATAATTTTTAACACAGATTTAGGACTCCTCCACTTTGTGAATTTGAGTTTTAATTTGAGTTGAGATGTGATATTTTCTGAGAGTATTTCATTGTAACAAAAAAAATTAAATGTGATATTTTCTGAGATTTTTTTACTGTAAAAATTTAAAACTGAAAACTTAAATCGGTGACCTTAATTATTAAAAAATAAATAACTACTCCCGATTATAAACTTCCAAAACGAACAATTTTCGGCAAAAAGAAAAAAAAGAAAAAAGCTCAATGGCAATGGCATAGAGGAAATTTAACTCGAACTCCAAGTGCAAAATAAAAACTGCCAAAAGCTCTCCATCTATATCTTTTGCACTCAGCTCCACGCCGTAATCTCCGTTTCTTGCTTCCTCAAAACAACAATGAACCTCCAAGCTTCATCAAGTCCTCCTAACTCCAACAACAATGGCGACCCAAAACCAGACCTCCAAAACCCTAACAATGGCGAAACCACCGACTCCCCCGATCCCCACCCCCTCTTCGAGGACTTCGAGAGCGCCTGCTCCACTCCCTACGTCAGCGCTCCTTCCAGCCCCGGCCGCTGTACCTCCGGTGCCGCCGCCGGTGGCTTCTTCTACAGCGCTCCGGCGAGCCCAATGCACTTCGTTCTGACCTCAAACTCCGCCTCCTCTTCCTCCTCCTCCTCCGCCAACGACGCCGTCCCCCTCGGCTTCGAGTTCGAGCTCGGCCCGTCCGGGTCGGGCCCGACCCGGCCCATGAGCTCCGCCGACGAGCTCTTCCTCAACGGCAAGATCAGGCCGATGAAGCTCTCCACCCATCTCGAAAAGCCGCAGAGCCTCGCTCCATTGCTGGATCTCAACGACGACGTAGAAGAAGTTGTGGAGCTTTGTTTCGAAGCCGTTCGAGGAAGAGATCTGAGGCTCCGAGACAAATCGCTGCGGCGGAGAACTCGGTCCATGTCGCCTCTGAGATGCCCGAGCTCTCCATTCGAAAATGACGCGAAAATAGTATGTGATAATGTGGAGCAGAAGAAGAACGACGATCACGAAGAAGAAGAAGAAGAAGAAGAAGAAGAAGAAGAAGGGATTAGTATTAACAACACGCCTTCAGTTTCGGCTTCGTCTTCGAGGTCGTCTTCGGCCGGTAGAAACTCCAAGAGATGGTTGTTTCTGAAAGAGTTTCTCAGAAGCAAAAGCGAAGGAAGAAGCAACAACAAGTACTTTTGGTCCACCATGTCGTTTTCTTCCCAAGCCAAAGAGAAGAAGCCCATGAATACTACTAAAAACGACAACAATAACAACACCAATAATCCTAGTACTAGTAGTAACGTTAATGAGGTTTCATTGGATGCCCAGAAAGCGAAAAGAAGCGGGCAATCTTCGGCGAAAAAGGCGGTGAATGGAGTCGGGAAGAAGAAGACTTATGAGATGCACTACACTGCGAATAGAGCTCAAGCTGAGGAGATGAGGAAGAAGACTTACTTGCCTTATAGGCAAGGCTTGCTTGGGTGTCTGGGGTTCAGTTCAAAGGGTTATGGAGCTGTCAATGGCCTAGCTAGAACCTTGAATCCGGTATCTTCGAGGTAGATATTATTATATGATATGATATGATATGATATGATCTTCTTGGTTGTATTTGGAAATGCCCAAAAAAGAATGTAACTGTATAGATTTTTTTTTTCCTTTTTTGATTGGAGATTTGAAGATTATGTTATGATAATCTTTTGTAGTACTTGGTGTTGTTGGGTCTTCTTCGCTTTTTTTGTTTAAAAGAGTTGTCCCCCAAAAATGGGTTGGTCGAATTATGCTTTTTCCCCATTTGCGTTGTACAAGATGTGTGGAAAGTGTATACTATCATTATTTATTAGTGGAATTTATCATGATTTAGATCATGTATGTGTTCTGTTTTCATATCCGATACGTACTCACATGAATCAATTTTGCATTGAGAGATTCATATATGTGTGTGTGTGTGTATGATTGATGATATATTTTCTATGTAGTTTCCAAAAACCGATCTATATTTCACATTTTTATCCATGTGGGTTGGTGACATTAGGGGTTTTGGAAAACTGAAGAAAGTGAAAAAGAAAACCTTGGTGGTTAAAGGACATGGCTGGTTAGTAGTTGGTGGCCTTCACATGCTCATTTACATGCCAGATTCCTATTTACATTTGACTTGACTTTTCTTTTTTTTTTTTTCCTTTATTTATTTTATTTTCAGAATTACAGGGTAGGGTGCGAAATAATACCCTATAGTAAGGCGTAGCTCTAAACCATTAAATTTTAATTAAATATCTTTACATTACCATATATTTTAAATTTAATGCAATGTGCAGTTAAAAATTGATTTCATATTTTGTTTTTTTATTTTATATATCCTACTAGAATTTTTTTTGTTACTTTTGTTTATGGGTTAGGTGTGGGTAGGGGAGGCAATTCGTGTCACGTGTCGTGTTCGTGTTGTGTTTTGATTGTTTTTTTTTAATTTGCAGTCAACCCGAACACGACCCGTAACACGAAATTTTTTAAAAATCGCAACACGAACACGACACGACCACTTTACGAGTTGACACGACACGACCCGAAAATGACTCGTGACACGAAATTAACCCGTGAATCTGAAATTGACATAAAAATTGTATACTTTTATTTAGTTTTTTACATATTAGAAATAACTTAAAATTCATAACACACTAAATTACAATAACATCTATTGAAATTAAGTAAATAATATTATAAGATTTTGAGTATAACTATCATGATATCACAAGTTCATAATAAAATTTAAAATATGTAATGAAAAATATATGTATTTTTTAGTTTTTTATGAGTTTCGTGTCGTGTTCGGGTTTGGCGGGTCCAACCCGAAATTGACCTGTATTTTTCGTGTCAATTTCAGGTCGACCCAATTCTGACCCGAACCTTTTTTTCTCAACCCTAACCCATAAAATTCGTGTCGTTTTCGAGTCGTGTCATCGTGTCGTGACCCATATTGTCGGCCCTAAGTATGGGGAAGGGTTGGAGAGCATAAGAAGCTACTTATCTTAGAGCTATAATTTCGCACCAATTAACGATTGAAATCTAGGTGAAGTTAGGGAAAAGGCAGTTGAATTATGAGTATTTTACGACATTGGACGTGTTTATCCTAAGATTTGACATAAAGGAGCTTGAGATTGTGAGGCGTGATTTTTATTCTACTCTCTAATTAAACGAGGACATCAAGTTGTCGTTTTGCCTCTTTCAGGGATTATCTTTTGGAATATAGTAATTAGCATGTGTTTATTAGGTATCTGTCTATCTAGTTTTTATGAAAAACGCAATGGAAGAATTAAGACCTACTACGTCAATCTTGTTCGGTGGGGGATTAGCATCTGTTTCTTTTGACTTCGCTCATCTACACAGGTGCCCTTTGATTCATAGATTTAAACAAACAGAAATTTAAATTTTTGTTAAAATATACTGTAACAAAAATGTTTGAACCGTGAATCACAACTTCATGTTGATATCATCTTAACAATACAAAATAAAGTTCAATTTAGCATTCTTTAGAGAATACGGAAACTTTGAGTAAAAATGAAGATCGGATAAAAATTGTGTGAAAAAAAAAAAAAAAAACCAAACTTCCTTTTTCTTGTTACTGTTGTAGTTTGAAATTTTTGGTAAAAGTCTATGACCACCTAACCAGGCCCCCTATATTATGATCAGCAGCGGTGGGAATTTTAATGGGACGTTTAGTTTATGAATTTAAAACTGTGATTTATAATTCTGATTTTTAAAATTTAAATTTTTTGTGAGAGAAAAATAATGTAGAGAATTAAGAACTATGATTCAGAATCATAGACAAACCTTTAAAATAAACATCTCATAAAATTTATCCTAGAAAAAAAGAAAAAAAAGTTGAAAATTTTCCAGTCATGGTCCCCGTCTCCATTATTGTTCATGGGTTTCTTATCTAAATTTCTAATTTAATTCTAAGAATCCATTTTAAAAAAAAAAAGAAAAAAAAAAAAAAAGAAAGATGGCACATAGCTTGAGATGTACAGGAGAGAGATGTTTCAAGATTCTATGCATTGATCTATCACCTTCAATATGAACTCTGAATTTGTTGCTCAAACTTCTAACTCCTTTCACAATTGGTCCCCAATCCCATTTCCACACTTGTGACCCCATCTGAATATCTGGTCATTTTCATCACTACTTTGATTTCGCCTAGCATCCCAAAAGCAAAACACAAAAATGACCATTATATTAGCTCTCATAATCCTTTTCCATGATCCACGCTTGTAGGAGAAAAGAAAAGTAACAATGTGGAAAAGCTAAAAATGCATGATATTGAAAAAGAGGTGGCTGCAAATAATGCAGTGATAATACCAACAGAAAGAAATGCACAATGATATCCTCCATGAGTCAAGCAATTGTTTGACTATTTTGTTTATCATAATTAAAGTTTTGTTATATTGATTTTGGCATTTTTATTAGATCTACAGTTGTAATATTCGGTTCCATCAAATGAAAACAAAATCATTATTTTTAAAAAAATAGTACTAATAATCAAAAGTTCACAAAATAATGCAAGATATCACAGTTCCTTATACGTTACCGGAATGCATTGCTGCAAGACTAATTGGAACCACTTAAATAACACATTTTATTAGGTATAGAAACGAGCCACCAATTTAAGATTGCGATTGGTACACGGGTTTGGATAGAATTATTGCTAAGATTAAATTCTATTGGATTACATTGGACAATAACTTATATTATTCTATGTTTAGTTTAGGATTAAATTGAACTGTATTTTCCTTCGATTAAAAATTTGAGAATGATTAAATTATCAGAATTTTCAAAATATAGTTTATTTTCGATATCGTGATAAACAAAAAAAAAATTGTAAAACCAGATTAGTAAACTTAGCCTTTTGTATGGGACACGTAATAGCGGTACCACGGAGGGATTACTTTGAACTTTCAACTTCGAACTTTGGAGTTTGGGATTAATTATCCCCTCTCCATTTTGCAACTAAGCATGCGATTGGGATTGCTTATCCCAATTTCATGCCTTATCTAATGCACCAAAAAGGGCCCCTAGTGTTATATCACTTGACATTGTCTTTAATTCATCCATAAATAAATACCAGCGACGCATTAAAACAGAATTTAAGTGTTGTATGTCACTGCCACTGCCATGTAATTTATTGATGAATTTAAGACAAAGCAAGTGCGAATGAGGAACTCAGAATGATGGAAAGAATTGGACAGATTAAACCGTCCCGTCTAATAAAAATTCCAGCTGGTAAACAAAACCAAAAAATAAAAAATAAATAAAAAATAAAGAAAAAGAAAAAGAAAGAATTGAAGAATTATATACTACAGTCACGTCTCATGAAACTCAGGAGCATGGATAGTGGATAGGATTGTGAAAGCAGCCCCATTGTCGTCAAAAACAAAAGCACCCCCATTGTCTGTTTCCAAAATCCGAATAATGCTCACATGAATCTTGAACAAAAAGTCTCGAGAGTCTGTTCATTTCACCGATTCAAATTTTACTATAGTAAAAAACTCTTAGAAACAGTTACATCTAATTTTTTTACTACAACAAAAAACTCTCATATAGTCACATCTCAACTCGAATTAAAAATTCAAATTAACAAACTAAATGGACCTTACAGCAGTGTATTCTGCCACCATGGGCCAAAAGCCAAAAGTCGGCCCCACTTTCTGATTAAGGGCGTTGAATTACGCACGAGTTTTATGATCCATGTCATGTGATATTTCTAGCAAAAGAAAAAGATCCATGTAATATTTCACACAGAATCCTAGGTCGTTTAAAAATTCAGAGAGTTCCCAGAGTATCGGCTAGAAACCGGCAATTATAAATAAAACCACATCTGCCATCATCAAGTTATGCCTTGCTATGCCCAAAAAAGTTTATATTATACTAAGACATTCCATTCAAGAATACAAATGTTGTGTTGATTTTACCCAAAGCTATCCTCAACTGGTTACACTATTCAACTTCAAAGCGCAAAAAGATTAGCAACAGATTTGCATAGAGTACAGATTAGCAACAGATTTGCATAGAGTACAGCATAACGTTTACATTCCCAAGCTAAGAAAGAAGAAGATTGTGAGACATGAAATCTCTGGAACTATATTATGAAGATCTCCAAGCAAAATCACAGAATCCGCTACTTCTTTCGACGGCTGATTAATACGAGGCAAAGGTAGATAGAATATTCTTCTTGAGAGTGAACTCATCCGCCTTGCTTGGGCTGATTGATTGCTGGAAAAGAAAAAAAAAAATCTTCAATTAATGAAAGACATTTATGCACACCAAGTGCTATAAAACAAGAATCAAGATTCATCAATTAATGAAAGTTACATTATCAACACAGTTGTGAAACGAGGAGGACAACTCTGTAAGGAACAACTGATGCCAGTTGCTTGATGAGGAAAAAAAAAAAAAAAAAAAAAAACCCTGATGCCAGTTGCAGTCATCAGTATCAGTACCAGAAAAGTTCCAAACATATCCAGTAGAGTCCCGATTCTGAACCTACCGGTTTATTGTTCCGTAATGAGGTAAAAGTTTACTTGTCTGAAAAATGAACTTAACACAAAAGAAAAAAGAAAAGTATCAAGTATACCTTTTCAAGCATGCGTTCAAGTCGCTGAATTTCCTTCTTGGCGTAATCAGCACCTTTCTCTAGACTGTTCTTGGCAGCCTTAACATAGATCTTACTGTATCTGTAAATCAAAACAAAAGGTAACTGACAACACTAAAAAAACTGTAAAAACTTGCAATGTCACGAACAGTGTTGCGCTACTGTAATTGCTAATGATATAACAAAGAAATTAGTACAAGGGACAGCCACCAAATGTTCACATTTTCTGGTATGCGGCTTTTAAGTAATTTTCAACTACCCAAGAAAACAAGCGATTGTGTTAACCTTGCAGTGGCGCCCTTAAGCTTCTCAACTTCCTCCTCTAGCTTGGCGAGGATTTTCTTCTTCTCATCATTTCCAGCATTCACAAATTCCTTCACCAAGTCATTCAGCGCTACAACTATACCAGCCTACATCAAGACAGATAAAAATTGATAAGGAAATGGAAATACATTATGATCCAGTCAAAAATTGAATCAATATGTAACCAACTTTGGAAGTAAGTTGTCCTTTTCCATCTCTGCTAGTCCCACATTTCTCATTAATGAAAGTTACAAAATCATCTAAATCTCTGCCGCCATCATAATCTTCTCTGGCCTTGTTGCTTTTTGGGAAAAATTTCAACGTGGGATACCCACTTACTCCATACCTGCATAAGAAAGCATCTTAACATCAGACAAATCTATTTTCTCTAAATAGGAAGTTATTTACTGGGCATCTTGTCATAGTATAGGTACAGAATTTGATAGAATAGAGCACACCAGTATTTTATTATTATCAAAAAAGAAAAACATTTAAACTTTGTTACTCACTTTTCAGCCAAGTCCCTGTGTTTGTCAGCATCAACGTTAGCAATCACTACATCTTCCAACTTAAATGCTGATGCAACCTTCTCGTATATCTAGATAAAAGAAATGGACAATGAAGATATATTAGCAAATCAGTTGTTCAAGAATAATATAAAGATGTTTGCGAGCAAATTTTTTCAGCAGTTAGCAAGTTATACTTACAGGAGCAAGGGATTTGCAGTGGCTACACCTGAAATGAAGAGGGAATATTTTCAAAATCAGAGCCAAGGAAAAGCATTTTAGCAAACACCATGTGCCGATATTGACATTTTTTTTTCCACCTCCATTGGTTTAGTCAACAACTATGTCTCAAAGTACTCTCTCAAATGCAGTATACGAAAGAAACCATACAGAATAAGTACACCCGCAAAAGAAAAAAAGAACACGTTATATATCCTTACCATGGTGCATAGAACTCCACCAAAACATCCTTCTCGTTATTCAGGACGATTTCATCAAAGTCATGTGGTGTTAGTACCACTACATTAGATGGAACTGCAGCTATCTTCACATTGGTCCCTGTTTGCAAAGCATCATCAATCATATTCTACATAGACAAATGTCAAGAGTGCATGCAAAAGCAACTGGGCTAGAGTTGACACTGATCCATCGTGTGCAGAAATCAAAATCATATGAAATGATTCGGGATAATAGGAGAGACGATAGAAACAAACAATCAAAGCCACGCCCCTCCACACAGAAAATACACATTTTGGAGTTTCCACGGAAGAAAGTTGCTAGACATTTCGAACTCCAAGATGTTTGCCAAAGAGAAAGTTTTTAGAATCGAATTAGGATCTATTCACCAAAGTAAACCAAGACAAGAAGTGGACCTTCATTCTATCAGAACCACCTTAATCAACAAAGCATAATTGAAGACAAGTAAACTACAAGATCAGAGTAATACTTCCTTCCTTATTCACAAACTCAGCAAGAGCTTCAGCACCATGTGCACCTTCATACCTAAAACGGGTAAAAGGAGATCGGAAAATACTTAGGTTACAAATACTGAGAGCTACGAGTGTGGTGAATGTTTACATAATGAAATCTTAATGTACGCGATTTTACAGTCAATTCTTCTGGCTAAAAATTTCTGAAACCATTAAACCATTTCATGAGAAATAGAGGAAGAGTGCACTCACTTTTTGGGCTCAAGGAACCCTTTTGGAAACCACTGGATCGTGGGATATCCAGAAACACCATACTTACTGCAAAGACTTTTGTGCTCATCACAGTCCACCTACCGAAAACCAACACACACACACACACACACACACACACACACAGATATATCTTGTAAAAAATAAAATCATGAACTAAAATCTGACAGGAGAATCCACGATTACAAAAGGGTTAATACATGAACTTCTCAGGAACTTCAAGGAAGAAGGCTCTAATCATATCAATTAGCTGGAAGAATGGTTTGGTACTAATTACAAGGGTATCACTTGAGATGAAATACAGAATACATCCCATCAATTCATGAAATAATAAAATCATTTAAGAACCCTAAATTTGGAAATCTAGCATCAACCAAATTATCAACAATATGACAGGGATAAAATTAATTTGGGATCTGACCTTTCCTATTAGAACAGATTTTGCTTTCTTAAAACTTGCACCGAGCTTCTCATACTCCGGTGCAAGCTTCTTACAGTGCCCACACCTGCCATGCGAAGAGCGTAAATAATACCACAACAATTTCATCACGATATAATTCAAAAGCAGCCTACTCTAGCAAACATAAATTAATATACACAATTGAAAAACACTAAAAACTATAGACATCTATAGTGGACAATTTTGCAGAATGTGAGATGTTATTCAATTTCTCGTCAAGTTACGTTATGCTTTAGCATTACCATATATATATATATATATATATATAAAGCAGACAAAATACACATACGTGAACAAATTTCATAAATATCTAGCTTTTCAACGATCATCAGAAACATTTTATCCAAAAATCGATCAGAATTTCACCAAGAGTTTTCACAATTTCAATGGCTCGACGATCGATTCGTTAAACAGATCTAAAACGCAATCACAGCAACGGATCGAATCGGAAAAAGTCAACACAAACTACCACATAGACGTACGAAATTCTGTTCGGTCAGAAAGAATAAACAACTCCTCAAAAAGCAACAACACTTTCTTGTCATTTCTATCGTATTTCCTCAGAAACCAAACAGAAAACATTAGAGAAAAAAAAAAAAGGAAAGAAAATCTGTACCAGGGAGAGCGTAGAACTCGACGAGAGCGCCGCGATCTTGGCCGACCTCCTTGTCGAAGTTGCTCTCAGTGAGGACGACGACGTCGTCAGCGAAAACCGACGAGACAAAGAGCAAAGCTAGGGTTCTGATAACATAGAAGGACTTTGAGCTCAACATTATTCCTTTTTTTTATTCTCACTTCTGATTTTTCTTTCTGTTCTTTTTCCGGAAATGCTCTTGGTCAGTCTGGTCTCCCCTTATTTAGAGTCTGTTTCCCTTGGATTTTTCTTTAGCTTGGGCTTGGCCGGGATATGGAATGATCCTTGCCTTTGTCTTCTTTCACACGTCCTAGCCAAAATAAATAAACGACGGCAAAGCTTTAGGCTATAAACGATATGTCGTTTAGAGGCGGCTTCTAAAAAATCAGGCACTTTAAAACAGAGTACAGTTCGATGGCAATTATGAAAATAATCGTTCGTTTCAACTCAGGAAACGCAATGTCGTTTTTAATAACAGAGGATATTCTCTTTTGGCCCCAGACCCCATTTATCTTCCTTCAATATTCAATAATCTCCAGCGTCCCGACCTAATCAGAGACAATTGCTAAAATTCTTCAAATTTTTTTTTTCTTTTTTTTTCCTGGGAGTTTAAATTCTGTCTTTATCTGCTTGCTCGGAGTTTTTTTTTCATTTTTTTTTTTTTTTTTTTTTTTTTTTTTTCTGGGAGTTTAAATTCTGTCTTTATCTGCTTGCTCGGAGTTTTTTTTTTTCAATTACATTTCAACCGAACATCAATTTAGGTCTCGGAATTTCGCAGCCATGGCTCAAACCAGCAACAATGTCAGTCGAGTTTTTCGTTTGGTTATTTACTTCCCTAGCTCCGGCTTTCGATTTTCTTAGGTTTTATTAGATGATTATTAGTGAATATGAAATTCTTAATTTCTGTTTTTCCCTCTGTTCATATCGCACTTGGGTTGAGTTTTTTTACTCTCCCAAAATCTAGCCAAAAAAGGACTTATTTTTATTGATTATTATTATTTTTTTGGTTGTAAATTATCTAGTGTACAATTACGTAGCGGAATTTCAAGGTTTTGATTGTTTATGTTTAGGCACTTGGCGTTGATAACACCTTTAGAAGGAAATTTGATGGAGAAGAATATTTGGAACGAGCTCGGAGCGCGAAAGACAGAGGTTTTTTTTTTTTTTTTTTTTCACTTCAAAGTTTCTCAATTTATTTGTGTTTTGCTTTATCTTTTTTTTACTTCTTTTTTTGGGGGTTTTGCAATTGATTTGGGGCTCTTAGTGACATTTCTTTGCTAATTTGCTGAACTGAATTTTAATTTTAGGAGGCAGAGGGGAAAAATCAATCCAAATGTGAGTTGATTCATGATTGAGCTTTTTTTTTTTTTTTTTTTTTAAATATGAATTGGAACGGATTGATGAACCATTTGGACTGTAGAAAGATGGGTTTCAAGCGTTTTTGACATATCTTCTGTGCATCCAAAGGCCCTCCAGTGCAAAGAAAGCCATTGAAACATAGAGATTATGAAGTGGACCTTGAATCTCGCTTGGGAAAAACTCAAGTAAGTTGCTAGATCTTCATTTTATGTATTTTGTTGATATTGCTGAACTATTAGTTTTAGCACCGGCAATAAAATTTCTTGAGGAGTAAATTAGTTGCCGCTGCCACCGCTTGATATGCGAATGAACCTAATTCATTTCATGAGAGAGTCGGGGATTTCATTTTTTTCATTTTCGTATGCAACATACATGCTGAAGTTATGATTGTTGATTATTACTGATAGAGGGGTCAGAGAGTTGTTCTGTTGTCTAATCTTTCCTAGCAAGTATAGCTGCTTCAGAATTGAGATAGTGCACCAGCGGCTGGGACATGAAGAGCTACTACGCTTTAAATGGGGCGTCTATTTGGAGATGGTTATTAGTATTACAATGACTGTTACTTCATCTGAAGGAAGCTTTAATTCACATGTGAGACTATAGCAAAATTCTAGCCTCTCTAAAGGGCCTAACTACACATGCCTAGATGGAGGAAGGGAGACTACCAAAGAAAATGTTTTGAGAGTTAACATTTAATTCGTATTTTCTGCCGTTCTAAGTGTTGGGAATTAGATATGCCTTCTGGGGTTGGGTGGAAGTAAAATATCTTCAATTTAATACCTCTACTATAATTTAAGTTGCATTCTACAGCTTTGCAAGAAATTTTGGCGCTTGTTGATTTTGTTTTGGGACCACAATGAACCTGACATAAAATTGATTAATGGTCTACTCCAGGTTTTAAAGATGCGTGCTTGGTTTCCTAGTCTATCAAGGCCCTCTTTCTTCATTATTATCATTTTTTTTTCTGTCCTGTTTAAAACCTCTGGTCTAAGATTTTAGGATGCTTTTTCTTTTTCCAAGTAGCAATCGCAAGTTGTAAGACGCTGTAAACCAATTTTTTATGCGCATATAATTGAATATATTTTTTGTTATGTTCTCTTTTGTTTCTATTTTGCTTGGTGATTTATTTGCCATATAGTATTTTGTGTGTTTTTTTCTTTTTCCCTTTCGAATTTTCAAAGCTTGAGGTTAATAGTTTCAAATTAGCTTTCTTGTGGGTTTATTTATTTATTATTATTATTATTATTATTTTGCTCTGATCTTTCATATGGTTCGTATTATGTATTTGCTTTTTGTTAATAATTAGTTACTTATTTTTCTAGTGGTTCTTTTCTTATTTTTCAATTGTCTTTTGCAGGTTGTTACTCCTATAGCACCTCTCAGTCAACAGGTATCTTTTCATTTGTGCACTAGTTTTTGTTACTCCATTTTTTTCCCCCTGAAATACTATTAAATCTATTTAGATTATGTAATTCTGTCCTCCTTATATAACCTGAGGTAGATCTCTCTATGAGAGAAACATTACTGGATGTTTTCTCCTTCCCACTAAAATTGTGCATTAACTGACATGATGACGGTGGACCACAGTAGCTTTGTGGTAAACATAGCGCGAGATAGATCTCTTTCAGAGAGAGACACTACTAGATGTTTTCTCCTTCCCTGTGGATGTGGATCTCTCTAGTACTCTCTACATGAGGTTGATCTATCTAGAAGAGAGATATTCCTGGATATTTTCTCCTTCTCAGTAGAGCTAAGCATGAACTGACATGATGACAGTCGACCATAGTACCTTAGTGGTAACTATCTTCAAATGATTTTTATAAGTGAATCGTTACTTTGTTGGTTACAGTGATGGTTTATAAGGGGCAATTAGTAGGCCTTTTCGTTTGTGGTATGTGAAGTCGTTTGGCTTCTAATACCATCTAGAGTAGCATAAGATGATGCATTTCCTCTGAGTGAGGATGGTCGTATGATGCAGTCTTTAGCAGCACTGTAAGGAAAGAACTATGGTATCATTTGGTTGAGTTGAGTTTAGTTGTTATGTCAGCAGTGCTGTTATATTTAGACGTTTCTATCTGCTCAGTGTTTATGTGTTTGGGACGTATTTGGTTCTTTGCAGGCTGGATATTACTGTTCAGTTTGTGAATGTGTGGTAAAGGACTCTGCAAACTACTTGGATCATATAAATGGAAAGAAACGTATGTGATCATTCAATTTCTGTCTTTCTTTCTTTTTTGTTATTTCAATCTTTTAGATTCTTATTACTCTATCTATTTCTTTATTTATTTATCTGTCTATCTATCTTGTAGATCAAAGAGCTTTGGGTATGTCCATGCGAGTAGAGAGGGCATCTCTTAAACAGGTAGACTTGGTGAAAATGTTATTTACTTTTTTATTTAATTTATAATGAAGATGGAGTTTTTTTTTATTTTTTTTATTTTTTTTACCAAATACATGTTCTGCATGCCCTTCTAGGTCCTGGGTTTTTTTTTTTCCCCTTCAAGTAGGTGTATTTTTATTATATGGGGAGAAGGCTTACTGAAAAGTTTAGTCATTATGTTGCCTTGATACGTCAATTATTATTATTGCGCATTTGTGTGGGAATGATGTATGTGAAGCTGTGAATTTGGATGGCCTGCAGGTCCAGGAGAGATTTGAAGTTCTGAAGAAGAGGAAAGACCCTGGGAGCTTTTCAGAGCAAGGTAAGACTCTTAAGAAGTAAAAAGAGACCTTTTTACATTATAGATTTACCCCCAGTAGTTTGGTGCCTGAGGCTCGGAAAAGAATGGATAATTCATTTTTTGTTTGCTTTCTTCCCTTAGATCTTGATGAGCGGATTCTAAAGCAGCAGCAGGAAGAGGAGGAGCGGAAACGCCAGCGTCGAGAAAGGAAGAAAGAAAAGAAGGTTAGCATTACTGCTTTGGTTAAGAAATGAGCTCATTAAAGACTTGGGTTAAAACATAGAATGTTGAATTGATTCTCGTCACTTTTCCCGTGTTTTTTTTTTCTTCCCTCGTTTGTCTTGGTTCCAGAGAGAAAAGGCAGCAGAAGAGGAACCAGAAGTGGATCCTGATATTGCAGCTATGATGGGATTCGGGGGTTTCGGTTCATCGAAGAAGTAATTTCAGGAATAGCTTTCGCCAATGCAATTTTCAATAGCACTATTTGTATTTTATCCCTTGGTTAACTCAATGTTCTGTAGAGACAGCCAAATTCTAGATTGCAATGCAGACTTGTAAAATAGTTACTTTCCATTTTTTTTTTCTTGCTTGAAAAGAAACTTTTCATACACTAAATAGAGAATTGTTTTAAATTTATAAGGGGCTTAGTTGATGGTTTCTTTTGATCGTTTCTTACTTCAGTTTAAAGGAGGATGCAATGCTTTCTTTTCATAAAAAACAAAACAAAACAAAAAGGAGAATTTTGTAATGGTGTAATGAACTGCCAAATTAAATAATCAATATTAGAAGCAAAGAAGATTAAAAAAAAAAAACAAATAAAAGATTTGATGGTTACGTGTAATTGTTGTGAAAATTCTAGCAGCATCACTACTAAAGACAGACAATCCCTACATTCTTATTCTACCAAAAAAAAAAAAAAAACTTTTTACAAGTATCTACTATGACTTTTTTGGCAAAATATTTGAATTTTAGAGTTGTTTTTATTTTGTTCAACTTTAAAAATTCTCATTTTATTCTTGAAATTTTGAATTGTTTTTATTAATTCCTTTTGATGTAGTTTTTATTAAAAACATATAGAAAAAGAAAAATTAACTATGATCATATAGTTTTTATCTATTTTTTTTTAACAAAAATCTAAAGGTCATGTGATTGTATTCTCATTTTTTTTTTTATCTATTTTTAACATAAATTACAATAAAAGTGATTAAGTGAGAAAAAATTCAAAAGACAATGACAGTGTTTAGAGTTAATAAAATAAATTAAAAATGACTTTAAAATTTAAGAGACAAATTAATAATAACACAAAATGTAAGAAATAAATTAGGAATAATACTAAAATTTAAAAGATAAATTAAAAATAATTTTAAAATTTAAAAACACCAGTAATAATAATCCTAAATATTACAATGGTCCAATTGCAATTGTGCCTTCTCATTTTCAGTCCTCTTAGTTCCGGCCAACATTGGGCAACATATCAAATTTCAGTTAAAACTGTGGGAAGTAATTCCTCTGATCAAACCCAGTCATGCCCAGGAGAGACTGAAAAAGCCATGGGCAAGGCTTGTCGCAGGGCCGAACGGAGAATCCTCCGCCTCCTCCACGGCCACAAAACCCGGAAACAGCTCCCGGAAATTCACGCCCACTTCCTCCGCCACCGTCTCGACCAGTCCAACCAAGTCCTCGCCCACTTCGTCTCTGTTTGCGGGTCTGTGAACAAAATGCGGTACGCGAATAGCGTCTTCAGCCGCTCCGAAAACCCGAACATGTTGCTTTTCAACTCCATGATCAAGGGCCACTCCGTGTGCGGCCCGTTTGAGCAGTCTCTGCGATTATTTTCGGTCATGAAAAGCCGTGGCGTTTGGCCCGACGAGTACACTTTTGTGCCGTTGCTCAAGGCTTGTTCGAGTCTGCGCGAGTACCGGACAGGTCAGTGCGTTCGTTCCCAAGTTTTTCGAGGTGGGTTCGAGTGTTTCGGGTCAATACAGATTGGGATTGTTGAGTTGTGCGTGAGTTGTTTGAGGATGGATGATGCAAAGAAGATGTTTGATGAAATGCCTCGCAGAGATGTGATTGTTTGGAATTTGATGGTTCGCGGATTTTGCAAGGCTGGTAATGTTTATGTGGGTTTGGATCTTTTCAGGCAAATGAGCCACAGGAGTGTCGTTTCTTGGAACTCGATGATTTCTTGCTTGGCGCAGAGTGGGCGGGATGGTGAAGCTGTAGTACTTTTTGGTCAAATGTGAGATCAGGGGTTTGAACCGGATGAGGCGACTGTGGTGGCGGTGTTGCCTGTTTGTGCTCGTTTAGGCTCTGTTGATGTTGGGCAATGGATACATTCTTATGCAGATTCTAGAGGACTTTTGCGAGAAGTTATTTCTGTGGGGAATTCACTCGTAGATTTCTACTGCAAATGTGGGGATTTAGGATCTGCTTCTAGTATTTTTAACCGAATGCATCGCAAAGATGTTGTTTCCTGGAACGTGATGATTTCAGGTTTGGCTTTTAACGGGGAGGGTCAACGTGGGGTCGAGTTGTTTGAGGAGATGGTGGAGAAAGCGATGAACCCCAATGAGGCGATTTTCGTTGCGGTTTTAGCATGTTGTGCGCATGCAGGTTTGGTAGAAAAAGGACGGCATGTGTTTGCTTTGATGAATCGACGTCATAAAATTAGGCCTAAACTTGAGCATTATGGATGTATGGTTGATATTCTTGGCCGAGGCGGATGTGTGAAGGAGGCTCATGACCTGATCAGAAGCATGCCCATTAAGCCAAATGCCGCTTTATGGGGATCATTACTCAGTTCTTGCCGTACCTATGGAGATTTGGAACTTGCAGAGATTGCACTTAACGAGCTTATTAATCTTGAACCATGGAATTCTGGTAATTACATTTTGTTGTCAAATATGTATGCAGAGGAAGGAAGATGGGATAAAGTTGAAAAGGTCAGAGATTTGATGAAGGAAAAATGTGTCAAGAAAGCGTCTGGACAAAGTTCTGTTGGGTTCGGATGATTAAAACATGCTTGTGTGACATGAAAGTCTCTTGTTTTTGGCTGGAATTCAATGTTCATGTAGTCGTTATTTGTTTCATTACTTTCTCGTGAGACAACCATAACAGTGTAAAAAGTTGACATTTGGGAAGTAGAAGACGTATGCGTCGCATAGCCTCTATGGTGTTCTCTTCTGGTCTAAAATGTATGAAACTTTTCTTTGGGGTCATGAATGTCCGGTTTTATTCTTTCAGTGAACCTCTCGAGGCTGTTTCAGGCTTACAAGTTAGGCATGTATTTAAACCATAATCTCTTTCATGAATTTTCAATAGGATACATTGCACTATTTACCTCAAAAGTACTTCAGAATCAGGAATAGTGATTTGGCACTTTCTGACTGTGGAATTCAGAATTATCGTTTTCAGAGAAGACATGAACTTATCAAACTTTATCGATATACTGTGGCTTCCTACGTACACATTGTACATTCACCAAAATCCAGCTAGTAATAGACCACAAAGTAAGCATATATAAATTTTTCGATAGTTAGTATCTTGATAATTTCCATTGTGTTTCTTATGTAGTACAAAGCCAAGCATGTTTGTCAACTCCGTATATAAATCTAAGCGCACCCTTTTGATTTCCCAGCTAGAGAAACAGGAACGGTACATCCTAGAGAGCAGTGCTCAGCTTGGCAGTAGGTTAAGCGATTGCACTTCACCTTGTTGGAAATGTCAGAACAAGATGAAGACAGACCACCCTGAAATCACCAACACATAGAAGATGATCGATCTCTTCAACCTTCCTGTATTGCTTGTTTCACCTTGTGCAAATCCTCCAAAGTTGAATATCCCTACATCACAAAGAAACTCTCCTCAAATTTAAGATCTCACTTTTGTGAACTTGTCTAGTAATTTCCAGAACTTTTTCCATGCCTAAGTCCATATAAAACTTGGAAGTATAAAGATTTTTAATAGATTTAAAGATGTTACTTGATGATAATTTGATCTGAATTTCTTTTTGATACATTTAACGTTCACCTCGTTGATGGTTGTAGGTGCAGCCAAGGTTGATTGCGCCTCTTCTGTCGCGTACAGTGGCCTTATTTAGAACAAGAAGTTTGAGACAATATTGTCAACACAATTGAGCACCAATTGTGTCTCAGTCAGGCAAGGTCAATTGCAGAACAAGTCAAGTGCTTGAGGAGGGACATTGATGCTTCCACTCTGGTCTAGTCTATAGGCCTCATTACAATCAGAATATATCTCAACAAATAAATGGTTGAATCAAGTTAGGGAACAAAAATGAAAAATCAAGTATGTTCTTTAAAAAAAGAAAAAAAAATGAAACTAAATATGTGATTAATTTCTACTCACAAACTTGTCATTGAAACAGGTCAAGGCTTTCTCAAACATTTGTACCGGATTGTCCTCTGCTGCACATCCTGTTATATATTCCAATACTCAACGTATAGAAGCATGAAATGTAACGTGACATTTGTTCAACTTAAAACGTTTAAAAGGTATAAACAATGGTTTGAATAGCTAATTTCTTGGTCTTAAACACGTTCAACATAAGTGTTACGTGAGATAAATGTTACGCTTTTTACTTCTATTTATTACATATAAATTGTAATATGATCCCGCCATATGTGTATATGCGTGTGTGTGTTAAGGAAACGAATCAACAAAATATGATGATAACGAGGATACTGAAAGCTGGCAAGCAAAACGACACGTCATTTTTATGGGAAGCAAAACGACACATCGTTTTTCATGGGAAGCAAAATGACACGTCGTTTTTCATGGGAAGCAAAATGACACGAGTCATTTTTCATGGGCAGCAAAATGACACTTGTCGTTTTTCTAGCTAATCAAAACGACACGTCATTTTTCATGGGAAGAAAAACGACACATCATTTTTCATTGGCACCAAAACGACACGACGTTTTCCATGGGCAGCAAAACAAAACGTCATTTTTCATGGGATAAACCCCAAACCCAAAAACCCTATGTAATGACTGAGAAAATCTCAGACTTTAAATAATACAATTTATTTATTTAAGCTAAGGATTTTTCTAGAAAATATTATGTGACTGAAGGATTTATGGAATTAATATCTGTATTCTTAAATTCTGTAGCAGATTTCATGTTAAGTTCATGTTTTGATCAAGTAAATTCGATCGATAAATTCTTGCCGTACATTAAGGCGGAATAATTTTCAATACAAGTATAGTTTGAGAATCTTAATTTCAAGAATCTCCAAGTACAGCATGATGTTAGCAGCGTATAAAGAAACGCACTGACATTTTAAAAGAAGAGAAAATCCTTAATTGCCAGACAGCTAGGTTAAAGTCACAAGATAAATACCCATAGCAAAAGGGTACAATGTGAGCTCGGGAGTTGACACCGTCAGAAACAATGTCATTCCCGGGATATAATGCAGAAAGGTTAAATTTAGAATTTGTTCAGTCTAGAATTAATTTCAAGACTTGAAACAATTCAAGATATTACACAAGTAAGAATTTAATATGATCTCAAAGTAATCAAGGATTTAACATTGAACTGTAAATAAGCAGTAGAAAAGAAACCGTCAGAAACTAGAATTTTTAAAGTACTTCCTTACAATCAGTATGATTTTTATCTGATTCAAAGGAAACTTAAGAGATGAGACAAAAGTACAAGGGGTAGGTTAGGATTTGGTAGGATGACATATGTGATTTGATGGGGGTAAGTGAAGATAAATCATGACATATGTGATTTGATAGGAGTTAGTGAAGAGAAATCATGACCTAGGTGATTTGATGGGAGTTAGTGAAGAGAAATCATGACCTATGTAATAAAATTTCTCCTCTTCTTTTCCCCACACTAGAACCAGCCAAGCTTAGGAAATGAGAGCCAACATTAGCTAGTTGAGTGTGCTAGAAAGTTACAAGTTAAGGTGTGATGTGATGGTGGTGGTTAAAGGGGAAATCATGGCATATTTGCTTCAATTTTTCTCCACCTAGAACCGGCCATGATTTAGGGGAATTGAACCAAAATTTGGTTGATTAAGGGAGTTGAGGTGGTGTTAATAAAAAATAATTTCCAAGTTGCCTATAAAAGGAACCATCATAGGATAAGCCTCATTTTTTCTCCTCTCATTTTTCCCACACTAAAATCCGGCCATACCACACTCCTCCATTCTCTCTCAAATATTTTCTCCCACTCTCCCAATCTTGAGCCACTAGCAAACCATAGAAGAAGAAGAAGGATATCAAAGGGTCTAGGAGGAGACTAGTCAAGCATTCCCCCAAGGGTAAAAAAACTATAAACCCTCTCTTTTTATGTTCTAGTGAAGTTTGAGATGTATAACTATTCTTCTCAAATTTTCTTATACTCCTCTAGTTCCAAGCCATTAACAAACCTTAGAGGAAGAAGAAGGTGATCAAAGGACCCTAGGAGAAGCCTAACCAATGACTTTCTTCAATGGTATAAATTCTAAAACCTTACTCTCTATTTTCCATTCTAGCAAAGTTTAAGTTTGAGAATCCATTGATGTAAATTTATGATTCTCAAAGAAATAAGTTGTAATAAGGGTGTGTGAGTTTTATATTGGTTTTGTGAGTTTGAGGTTAGTTTGATTAGCAATATGGGGTATGTTTATGTTTAGTTGAAGTTGCTTATTTTCGATTGGAGGAAAAAATTTTGAACGCGAAAATGAGGACCATAGAGCGAGATTTTTTGATGTTTCAAAGATTGAACTTATAGCCCTCGATGTTTTGAACATTTTCAGTTTAACTCTAAAAGCAAGTTTGTAGCCATTTTACAAAAAAACGGACAGGCTGTCCAACACAGTTTCAAAAAGAAAATTTTTGCTACAACATTACTATAGCATCCGCAACATTATAAAAGATTACTGTAGCATTTCCTACAGCAAAAGAAAAAAAATAGCAGCTACTGTTTTCAGCCAAACGAGGCCTTTAGAAGTTGAATTTCAACTTTCACCAAAAATGACAATTTTAGATCTCGATAAGATGAAGAATTGTCAGGAAGAACACATTTTTGAAATCTGACTCTATGATGCAGTAAAACGCAGATTTCAGAAACTATACAGTTTTAACGAAACAAAACTAACACACTGTATTCATCCAAAAAAAGTGCTACTTGTTGCATTAATTCCTAACAATTATATATTAATTTCAGAATGCAAAATATAAATAAAACTATAAATTTTTT